GAATATCAAAGACTTGTGTGACCAAGTTCTGTCTCTTGCTGAGTATAGAGCCCAGCTGTATGACTATTTAAAGAGTAGGATGAACACCATTGCCCCAAATCTAACTGCTCTTGTTGGAGAACTTGTTGGTGCTCGCCTCATTGCCCATGGTGGCAGCTTGATAAATCTTGCAAAACAACCCGGAAGCACAGTTCAGATTCTTGGTGCCGAAAAGGCTCTTTTCCGAGCCCTGAAGACAAAACATGCAACTCCTAAATATGGGCTTATCTACCATGCATCTTTAATTGGTCAGGCAGCACCGAAACATAAAGGAAAGATTGCACGATCACTTGCTGCCAAAACTGCTTTGGCTATTCGATATGATGCTCTGGGAGAGAGTCAAGATAACACTATGGGATTGGAGAATCGAGTTAAGGTACTATGAATTGTATTTTGTGTAGGTGTATCTGTTCTTGCTGTTCCCTCTAGATCTTTTCTTATGCATGTCTTTTTTTTGGTAGCTTGAAGCACGATTGAGGAGTCTGGAAGGCAGAGAACTGGGCCGTTCTGCTGGATCAGCTAAGGGCAAACCTAAGATAGAATTCTATGATAAGGACCGTAAAAAGGGAGGAGGAGCAATGATAACCACTGCCAAGGTCTGCATTTCTCTTTGCTTAAATATTTTTGGGAAATTCTATTCGCACGAAATTTCATTACACGCCATTTATTTTGTTCAGATATAAACTTTCGAACAAAAACAAATGTTCGGACATAAATTGATGAACAATTTTTTTTTTTTTTCAAATACATATTTCGTTCAACTGTTAATGCCCGAACAATTACTTTTTATTCATAAATTTATATCCGAATATTTGACTTTTGTTCGTAAATTTATATCTGAACCATATAATGAGATTTTTTATGCTGTGTAAATAGCAATACCCAATTTTTTTGGGTAAATTACATTGACTACCCTTGAATTTTAGAAAAATAAAATAAGCTTTTTGCAAGTTTGGCATAATTACACCGACCTTTTTACTAAGATTAAAGCGACCATAACTAATGTAGATTGTGTGTAGATATAAGGATAGACAAAGTATAATATATAACAAGAGATAAAAATATCAATTTTCCATTCAAAGTAAAATATACTTTTAGTATCAAAGAGATAAAAATATCATTTTTTCATTCATATAACTAAGTAATTGTTGATGAAAAATGAGCTAATTTTTATGTGAATTAAAATTAAGGGTGCCCAATGCAAGTATGCAAATCTTGTGGGGGCTAATGTATTTTTTTTTCCCTCAAAACCTCAAGCGAGGTTAGTTTAAATTACCTTGAATTTTTCTTTTTGTGGTTGATTTATTTAATGTAGTCTCGACTCTTCTGTTTCATGTAGGTCTACAATCCTTCAGCTGATTCTGTACTTGGGCGGACAGAATCAGAACTGACTCAAACTGAGGAAGCAGTAGAGGAGGCTCCTGTTGTTGATGGAGAGAAGAAAGAGAAGAAGAAAAAGAAGAAGAAGATGGTTGATGCAGAGGACAATGAGGAGGAGGTTGGTGCAGAACCAGAAAACGAGGAGGTAGGGAAAAAAGAGAAGAAGAAAAAGAAGAAACATTCGGATGAGAACGCTGAGAATGATGACGAAATTGTTGGAGAGAAGAAGAAAAAGAAGAGAAAACATGCGGAAGCTGAGGAAGGAGAAACTGAAACTCCAAGCAAGAAGGATAAAAAGAAGAAGAAGAAGAGAAGCGAAGATTGAGAAGTTAAAGTTGATGTGCGAATTGGAAACCTAACAATTTTGAGCATTGTAGGCAGCGGGTGAGTGTTTTTATTTGTACAATTTGTGCTTTTTTGTTGGGTTGTTCATTTGTTTCATGTGGATCTTGAAGTTACTTCTAATGTATTTTTGAGTTTATTGGAGATGTTGCTAGTTGTTGGTTCAATGGAGGGCATATCACTTCAAGTGGATATGGCAAATATAGATGATTGCAGTACATGTCCAAGTGAACTAGGAATGTTACTGTGAATGCCTTTCCCACATTAGCTCTGTTATTCAAATGGATCCATTTATAATATATGATGATCTACCTATACCTAGACTTTGTTGTATTCATATATATATATATATATATGAGTGTGTGGAACTTCTAAGCACTTTCTGAATGGAAATGAAACCCTAGACTAGTTGAGCCTTTTTGTTGGAGGGTTATGAATATTCTTTTGTAGCATCTATATGAAATTTCTCCTTCTGTAGCATGCACTACGAATTTTGTAAAATATGTAAACATTTACACTATTTTCCTCTAATTTTTACTATGATTCCTTTTCGGATAAGTTACACTTTTACACTCTATTTTCCCTCCAATGTCATTATGGTTCATCTTTTTCTGATTGTAAAAATTAAGTTCGGACTTAAAAACACTTTTTATTTCAACGTGATTTTCTTGTTATGTAGCGTTAAAAAATTAAAAATTGAGATGGAAAGTTCTCACGATGTGAGGCCATGCAAACATGTTGTTATGTTTGATTCATTAGAATGAGTTGAAATGCAATGATTGTACAATTAAATTGTTCATTAAAAAATTATGAAAAATGTAATCAATAGTGAACCAAGTACTATCTATAGTTTTATAATCAACATGAAGTTTCTTGTTTAAAAATGCTTTCAAAAGAAAAATGAAAAATATTTCATTTCATTTTGTTCTTGTCTTTTCTCACCTTTTTTTTTTTTTTTTAATGGTGCTTGGATAATTTGTCATCTAAACATATCTTATTGTTGTATTTGAGTTTTGAATTATGAAGAAAAAAATAAATACAAAATAGTTTATACTCAATTCATTTATTCATTTGATTTTTGTTTTTTCTTTTCAAATTTAAAATTCGAATGCAATCAAAAGATTGTACATGCTGGATATGTGTTGAAATATATGGAAGTAGAGATCGAGCTAGCTAATGGTCCTAATAATTTATACTTTATCCTACTTCACATATCCAATTTGCACTCCTAAAGATGATTTCGAAGGGCTGTGCCTTGGATTGATTATCGGTTATAAGGAAAAAAATAAAAAAAAAATAAAAAACCTACTACTTTTGGGCATAGTAAAGGAAAGGCATAAATGTATTTTTTGCAATTTATATTTCTTTGTTTTATTGAAGAATTGTGACTCTTCATAATATTTATTATATATTTATGAGGGGTGTTGCCTTGATTATGAGAGATGACTTATCATATTGATTTATGCATTTATTTATTGTGTCCTCAGGTAGCATATTAGCTATGAATACCAAACATAGACTGTTTTCTTCTTCCATTTGAAGATTGTATATTATTATTATGTTTGTTATGATTATGATTGTTGTCGTTGTTATTATTTTCTAATAGTGACCGGTCTCTTTCCTTTACCTATAACAAAGTTATCAATATCAATTTATTATTTTGTTATATTTTTGTATTTTATCTCTTTTGACCTTTTAATTATATTAGGTCGGTTGAATTTCTATTTAAATAAATATATTTCCACACTACTGTTGAATGACAAACTAATGGGAAGACATTCATTTTCTTTGAGGCTTTCTTAATTTGGATTTCAGATGCTTAACTGAGAATTTCAGTGTCGGGTGAAAAATAAGAAAATTGAGAATATTTGGAATACATTGTGTGAATGAAAATAAATAAATAGTAATTGCACAAAGCACCGGGAAGGTACATCTATCTTCGGCTTTGGCTGTAGAAGCTCGGACTTGCTTAGACGCAACTCACTGGGCCAGACGTCAACAAATGCTACGTCTTGGTTTGGCACGTGGAGTAGAAATGGATTGAAACTAAGGGTTGGTTTGAGGTGTCCTAAAAAAGTATATTTTTTGTTTTTTTACGAAAAGATGTACGTAAAAGTAGAGAGGTGATGTGATGGAAAAAAGATAAAAAGATAAAAAGATGGATTATATAGGATATGCCAAACCAACCCTAAAATAGTTACAAATAAAATAAAATAAATAAATAAAATAAATAAATAAATTAATCGTATGTTTAAAGTTGTTACATTTAAATTATAATTATTTTATTTTTTTCTCATAAAAATTTAAAAAGTCAAAAAGTCCATTTAAACAAGACTATTTTAGCTAAAATAGTCAAAAAAACTAAAAAAATCAAAAAAACCAACTCACATTTTAAACGATGCTTAAATGTGGTCATTTGCATACTCTTTAAGTTTTGGTGAACATTTTATAGAATCGATTTGTAGTTAAGTCAGCTCACGATATAACGGGCAATGTAAATGATTATAATTTTATTGGTATCATAAATAAATAATTTTATTATTAATATTATTATTATTGATAAATTACAGGACATGTGACACTTTTCTACTCATTTGGAGGTTATGAAAAGTTATGAACCATTAAACACATGTGAAAAGATGATGAAAAATGTAGAGAATCATGAAGCATGAATTGGAGGTTAAAACAAGTTATAGAGACATAAAAATGAAGTGAAAGATCATAGAGTGTGAAATGGAAGAATGTGATAGTTATTAAGCAATTTTTTCATACAAATGTTTGCAATTAAACAATCATTTATGGCTACATTGTAAATAGGGACTCAAATAAAAAACAATTGATTTCTATATTTTCTTGTCATTTATATTTCTTTATCATTTATATTTTTTACACTTTATTTTCAACACTTTCTTTTCGAAGCATAAGAGTAGAGATAATTTTATGTACTTCATTTTCAAAGCATATGAATAGAGGTAATTAATTGTTACTTTGATTATTCATTCAATCACTCTGATTGTTCACTCAATCATCTTTCTTTGTCTCCCTTTTTCTTCTTTTAATTTTTCTTTTTTCTACACTTAGCAATTTTGAAATCTTTTTCATTGAGGCAAAAGAACTGTTAACACAATCGTTTGATAATTGATTTGAATTTAATTTGTAAGGATTTTTCAATCCTTACTAGTACGCTCGCATTTATAATATTTTCTTTGGAAGGAAAAATAAGCCAATGAATTCGCAATATATACCTATGCTTTCCTATTCTTAAAATAAAAAAAATAAAAAAATGTAACATTTAAATTTTTCCATTTTATGAGTAGGGTATATTTTCTTATTTTTTTAATTTATTTCATCATTAAGAAATAAAAACAAGTAAACAAATAAAGTGAAATATGCTAAATTTGTCTTTTACTTAGTTATTAAGCTAGCTTATTTTCAAGTGAAATATGCTAAATTTGTCTTTTACTTAGTTATTAAGCTAGCTTATTTTCAGGATTCACTTTTCATAATTGAAATTTTATATTTTTTTTACTAAATTTTTTAATATTCTAAGCAATTTTTTTTTATTTTTTTTAGATACACCAAACATAAATACATTTAAAAATATAATATTTATAAAAAAAAATCTTTAGAAAATTTATTAAATAACAAAAATAGAAAAAAAAATACAAGATTTCAGTACAATTTTTGTATTCTTGTGTATTTATTAATTTTTAACAATATTTTTTACAAATATTTTACTTTTTAGATATATCTAAATAAAGTGAATTTAAAAAAGTAAAAAAAATTACTTAAATTTTTTAAAAATTCTCTAAAAACAAAAAACAAAAAATACTAAAAGTAAAAAATCTCAATTTTCAAAAAATTGAACCTAGAAAATTGAAACCAAGCGTACTGAATAAAATTATCAAATATTTTCAAAAAAATTAATTTTTTATCAATTATAAAAAAATAATTTTATTTTCTCTTAATAAATTCAAAAATTTCTTGAAAAAAAAAAGATCTTCAACATTTTTCGAAAATTAAATTTAAATTTATTTATTTGTATTTTGTACCCATGCTATAGAGCTTTGACTTGGAGAGATCGGCAACTACTCATATACACATATGTATGCACTATATATACATATGCAGCGATCTTTTCTTCTTTATTGTCCGAAAGCTAAAGACAGCGCAGACAGAGCAGATTGAATAGAGAGAGAATATATAGAAAGCAACAGACTGATTTCCAGTACTCTCTCTCTAGAACACCACTGTTCTCTTCACCAGATTTCAATCATGTAACTCTCTCTCTCTCTCTCTCTCTCTCTTCAATTCTCATGTTTTTTGGAAGCCTTGAATAGTCTGTTTCTTGAATTAGGGTTTACAATTTCTTGTTCTACATGTAGGTGTGTGTAATGTGTATGTATCAGATTGATCAATCGGAAGTGTGAATTGATTACTTTAAGGTTAACTCGAGAGTGTTTGTGTGTGTTTGTTGATGTTAATCTTAGGTTTTTATTTTTTATTTTTTTTGTTTGCAGGTTGTTATAATTGTAGGAGGGTTGATTTGTATTGACAAGTTGATGATAGAGAGTACTAGTGAATATGTTAAGAGATGAAGTGTAGATTTGACAAATGGGGTGTGTTCTTGGTCGAGAGGTTTCGTCGGGGATAGTTTATGAGGCTAAGGAGGAGAAGAGGGAGGGTGTGAATGAGAGAAAGAGTAAGAATTTGAGTGTTGAAGAGTCTAGGGAGACATTAGGGGAGACCAAGATCGATAATGATAAGGGTGGGGTGACCCGGAAGGAGGAGAAGGTTGACGGTGATAAGCGGTCGCAGGGTGAGAGGAGGAGATCGAGGCCGAATCCGAGGCTGGGTAATCCCCCCAAGCATAAACATGGGGAACAAGTTGCAGCTGGATGGCCATCTTGGCTTTCTGCACATGTTGGTGAAGCAATTGATGGTTGGCTTCCTCGACGGGCTGACACTTTTGAGAAGATTGACAAGGTGGGTCATTTGTCTTTGGCATGAATGTTCTTGATGTTGGTATGTTCTATCAAATAGATATATAGTTATTTATTTATTTTATGTGTATTAGATTGGGTCAGGAACATATAGCAATGTGTACAAAGCAAGAGATACTATGACAGGGAAAATTGTTGCATTGAAGAAGGTACGATTTGATAATTTGGAACCAGAAAGTGTGAGATTTATGTCTAGAGAGATTATTATTTTGCGGCGACTTGATCATCCAAATGTTATAAAATTGGAGGGTTTGGTCACTTCGAGAATGTCGTGTAGTTTGTATTTGGTGTTTGAGTACATGGAGCATGATTTAGCTGGACTTGCAGCTAGCCCAGATATCAAGTTTACAGAAGCACAGGTTAGACTTGGCTTTCTACAATTTTGAACTACAATTCTGCAGGTTAAGTGTTATATGCATCATTTTTTTATTCACCGTTTTTTATTTATGCAGGTAAAGTGTTATATGCATCAGTTATTATCTGGGCTTGAGCACTGTCACAACCGTGGTGTGCTCCACCGTGATATTAAAGGGTCGAATCTTCTTATTGACAATGGAGGAATGCTTAAGATAGCTGATTTTGGGTTGGCTACTATTGTCAACCCTAACCACAAGCACCCTTTGACTAGTCGGGTGGTTACACTTTGGTATCGAGCTCCAGAGCTTCTTCTTGGGGCAACTGACTACAGTGTAGGCATAGACCTGTGGAGTGCAGGTTGCATTTTAGCTGAATTATTGGCTGGGAAGCCTATCATGCCTGGTCGTACGGAGGTATAAACCAACTTCTGTGTTCTATCATGCTATTTTTATTTTTATGTCATTTGAATGTTTCTCTCTATATTTTTCCTTATCCTTAGTATCCCTCTCATATTTTTGGAAAAAAGTAAAGCAGAAAAACATGTTTTCCAACTCCTTCCATCTCTTGTATAAGAAAAAGAAACATGTTTGGTAGGCATATTTTTCATTTTAGTATTGATGACTTCTTAGGGGTAAAATGAACATGGCCTTTGTTTTGTTTCTCAGTGGAGTTGATCCTGCAAGATTACTGTGAACCAAATCTTACTATCCGGCAGCTCAAAGCAAGTTAATTGCCATATGTTGTGTTTCCACTTTCCAGAATTCTGGTTACAGTTTTTGGTAGAAAAGAAGAAACATGGTTAGAAAACACTTTGTTTTCTTTTTGTTATTGTGTGTTGCTCCTCCACCACCTGGTAAGTACTATGCTCCTGCAATGTCCCATTTGGGGCTCAAACCTTGCAATTCTGCTCCTTCCTCACTGTAGTGGCAATATATACCACTTGACCTAACAGCTGGTGGAGAATGGACCATCCGACAAAACCAAACTCCTCTTCGAGCTAACACAATTGCTCCTTTGTCATCTTTACTGAAACCCCCACCACTGTCCCATATCGCTGATTTCAGAGCAGTCACTGAGAGTTGCACAGTACATCTTTGAGCAATCCAATAATAATGAAAGCTTTTCTCTTATGGACGAAGTTTATGAGAATTGAATGAGTTTTGCAGATTCTAAGTAGTCACTTCCAGATTTGGGAATGTAAAATTATCATGGATTTTCTCATCAACTCCCCACCAAACAAGTCTTTAGTGGTCTTAAAATCTCTTATTACCCAACTCAATACTATTAAGCAATCTGGTCACACCTTTATTATCAAATTTAACGTCCCTCTTCCACAAGCATCTCTTGGCGAAGTAGAGAGAGGAAACAAAAATGGGGATTCTTGATTGTGGTTGTGTTCATGGTGGTGGTGATGGATCCCTGGAAACGTTAAAGATGGCGCTGGCTAGAGGTGGAGGAATATTTTGCCACACAGGAAAAATGCTTTTGCCCTCTTTTAGGGATGCAAGTAACAACAATGTTACATTAGGATCAGAAGCCGTAAATCTTAAAGGTCCCATTGCACCATCTGTTGTAGCTTGATGTTGTAAATTATTAGGGATTTTGTTGCTATCTTGGAATTCGTGAGAACTGCTTGAGCTGCTTGGTCCTCTTTTGGTGTTGTTGGGGCAGTTTTGGGTTCTCGTGCTATTTTACAATTTCAAATTGTTTAGGCATAGTGAGGGTGGGTGCACATATTGCTTGTTCATGGTGTATTTATGCTGACATCAACTTTACAATTTATTGCTTGATTGGCTGTTAGGAAAAGAAAGGGTTCTGATATTACTTTGGCATTGGAAGAGTTGTGGAGGCATAAAGGAATATCAGCATACTTTAATCTCTGATTCCTAATGAATGTAGTGATTATAAAGGGTTTGGCGAATATGTATGCCAGTTTATTTGTATTATATTTCATGTCTGAACTTTGGCAATGGATATTACCATGATTGAATTGGTAGTCTTAAGTTTTGGGGATATGTTTATGTATTGGATTTTTCCTGCATTTAAGCCATGCTTTCATGGAGTTTGCCCATCTATTGTTGAATTGGATGTTATGTGTATGTCACTTTTGGCTTTCCTTGAACATTTTAATCTTGCTCCTCAGCTGCTTGAAGTTTTAGGATATCTGTTGATAGCATATATTGCACAATGCATGGCATTTTATGTGGAGTACTACTTTTAGATTTCTAAATATTGCCCATAAACAGGAAACTGTCTCTTTTCTTTTATACTGTTAACAATTGTCTTTTTCTGTCACAAGGTAGAGCAATTGCATAAGATTTACAAGCTCTGTGGCTCTCCTTCTGATGAATATTGGAAAAAATCAAAGTTGCCAAATGCAACCTTATTCAAGCCCCGGGAGCCTTACAAGAGATGTGTTTCAGAGACATTCAAAAATTTCCCTCCATCAGCACTGCCTTTAATTGAAAATCTTCTTGCAATTGATCCAGCTGAACGTGAAACGGCAACCGATGCATTAAGGAGTGAAGTCAGTCTCTACATACCCAATTACCTATCTATTTCATGATTGACATGACTTTTCTTGGCTTATATCAATGTCTTACCTTGTTAATGGTTTATTGCTTATTCTGGTATGATTTTCTAAATTATGTCTGGTAGCTGAGATGTTTTGAAATTGTTGAAAATGTCTATCATGTTTGAGAAGCACAGTAGACTACATGTGATTGGAAGAGAATCTCCCAGTAAAGAATTGAGATTCCATTTGTGTAAAGTAGCATTGTGGAAGATTTGAAGCAGTATGCTGAAGACTAGTAAATTTGAAAACGAAGAAAGTAACTTCAATTTATTTTGCATTTCTGTAATTTGAAAATTTTCTACAGAGAATATATAAATGTATATATGTATGTATGGATATATACACACATAAAGAAAAAGGTATGAGTGGCAGTGTTAATTCAAATTGGGGACCTCTGAGAAATTGAAAAACATTAATAATTAATTAGTAATCTGGTTTGTGTGAATCAGCATCTTAATGGGACTTGCAAACTAAGATATAGAAGATTAGAATGGAATGAATCATACTGGAGACTATAAATCTGACAGACCAAATGGTTTTGGGAGAGATTTTCCATGCCTTCACTTCCCCCTCTCCGAACACATATATGTGGACATGTTTATCACCTGGAGAGCTTTCGGCCTTGTTTGGTTTAACTCTCAAAACACAATTTTGGAAAAAAAATTTCAAAATTTTGTTTGGTTGGAAATTTTTTGAAAAAAATTTCAATTTCACTCCCTCTCTCCTACACACCAATCAATCACTTTTTCGCTCTCCTCTCTCCTTCTCAATCTCTTTTTCTCTCACACACATCTACTCAACTACAACAAAATATTAAATCATTCCAAACTCTCATACTTCAAAACTATTTCCAAAATATCAACCAAACAAATCAAAAAAATTTCTAAACTCTTTCTCCAAATTTTTTTTTTGAAAATTTATCTCCCAAAACCAAACCAAACACACCCTTCATGTCTATGGTGCTCCTGTCATATTTTTTTTTCTTCTTGGGAATGGAACTGTTGGTACCGCTTTGGGAAAAATCTTAGGTATCTTATATCATTCTGCTCTTAATCACTTTATATGGGTCTTATGTTGCCCTGTAAGTTTTCTTCTCTTTGCACCAGGTTTCTGTTTCAGTGTTATTATTAATTATAATATCTAGTGTTTTTTTCTCTAGTTTCTCTTACATAATAACTTGTGAGTGAATGGAGAACAAGGTCATATGAGGTTGCTCTTTGGAAGGCATCTTCGGGGAAAATCACTATCCAACCCCTCACTTATCTTGTTCTTTCTAGGAATGCCTCATTAATGGCCAAACAAATTTTCTGCTAATTTGGATAGCATATTGGTTGAAATTTCTACTTGCTTGTAGATTTTTTATTTTATTTGTTAAATGCAAGAAATAAGCAATTGGACAGTGAAAAATGATCTTTTGACCAGAATGCACTGAATGCATTAGTTTGCAGTTGAAAATAAAAAGCAAGTCTAAAAATCTGAATAATTTTCTTTCTTGATATCCCAAAAGGACCTCTTTGCATAATACAGAATACAAACTTTGTCAATAAAGTTCTATCTTGCTGACAAGCAGTTCTGAGCTTGTATCGTAATGCATTTTCTTTTTGATAACTGCCCTTGTATTTTTACCTTTCTGCTTTCGTTCTTATTTGTATATTTGTCTGTAGTTTTTCACTACAGAGCCACATGCTTGTGATCCTTCTAGCCTTCCGCAATACCCTCCAACCAAAGAGATGGATGCCAAACGACGTGACGATGAGGCTCGCAGGTAAGGGTTTTATTTATTCTCTGTGTCGTGTGAAGTTTTGAAATCAGGCTGCCCCAAAAAATTTGTTTACGAATGTCTCATGTTAGGTATGAGCATTTGCTACTTGTGGATCATTGAGGCCCCTGCTGATTTTACTTGCATCTTTGCGCTTCTGTTTATAATTGTTTCATTAAGATTTATTGGAATAGGTAGCTTCTATGCGTAAACTCAGTAAAGTTAACCATTGATTAATTGTTTGAGTTCAGATAAACCATTAACAGTGGGAGTTCTAGAAGGATCCCAAATATCTGTATGGACGAGCAAATGACTCAAACACATGACTAATACTACAACTAGGAAAAGAACTACGGTGATGCTTCCCAAATTGACAGGCTTCACACTCAATCTGAGAAACATGACTCAAACCTGGAACAGCTAACTTGAGTTTGGCCAAGGAGGGATGATCCAAGCGAAAAGGCCACTTAAGAGGAGAGACAGTAGCACTCAACACAGCAGATAGAGGATGAGGAGAGGTCTCAATATCCAAAAAGTACAAGCCATTCTTCTCATGCCCCAAACCAATCATCTTCTTGGTCTGGAGGCTGCAAAACACATGAGATAAGAGAAAAGGTTATTGAACAATGGAGAGCTTGAGTCAACGAATAATGGAGAGCTTGAGTCAATTGGCTAACAGAAAGCAAATTAAATGGAAACTTAGGAACATAAAGACCAGAAGGTAAGGAAAGGGATGAAGTGGGATGAAGAGGACCTTGACCATAGACAGATCGAGAAGATCCATCAACAAGTATAATTGTATGATCATCAAGTCTAAGAGTATCAAAAAGAGAGAAATTATCAGAGACATGGGAACTAGCACCAGTCTAGGAGCCAAGTTTGAGAGGACTTAGCCACACTTGCAATATTACCTGAACTAGCCATGGTAGCAATAGACGATGAAGGTAGACTAGGCCAGAGAGACTAGACAAGAGCAGTAAGCTCATTAATCTGAGTAGTGAGTGTTTCATGAGAATTAACCGGAAAGGCATCAGAGCCAGTGGACAACAAGGAAGATTGTGAGGATGGAACATCCATAACCTGATGGACATGATCAGGTTTGTCATACTTCTGCCAACACGAAGGTTCAGTATGACCTTGGGAAGCACAATGAGTACACTTGAGATCATCACGTGTACGAGAACCAGGTCCACTACTACCTCCACCACGGAAACCACCACGTGAGCCACCACTACGAGAACCACCTCCACGAGAACCCTATGAGCCAGAATAAGAGGCCCGGGAACCAGATGAACCATGAAAAGCCCCGCGAGTAGACCCATGATCACTACTTCTAGAAACCAATGTAGAAGATGATAAAGTAGAGGACCTAAAGGTGGATTGTGCTTGTCCCAATGAAGAGCGTAACAACCTAGAATAGGCATTGGCAGCAGAAGGTAGAGTCTCACTGGTTGGCAAGAATCTGATTCTTGAGCGCTCGCAACTCAGGATCTAAGCTAGAGAGTAAATAAGCCATCATAAACTCCTCCTAATGTTGCTTCTGTTTGTTCACATCAGTAGTGAATGGTCGATGCTGCAATAATTGATCCCACAAGGTCTTGAGACTACTATAATAATTGGGAAGGGACTGGTCAGATTGGTGCATAGCAAAAATCTACTCATATAGCTCATAGACGAGAGACATTACTCTGATTCGAAAAGGATTCAGCAAGGGAGTCTCAAATTTCCTTAGAGGTATCACAAAATTCCACGGTAGTAGCAACCTGTGGTTCCAAGCTGTGCCAAATCCAACCTCTAATACAGGAATCCTCACTACACCAATCATCATAAGTTTTGTCGTCACTGGCATGAGGGAGTTCGCTAATGAAGCGGAATTTCTTCTTACCACGAAAGAAAATTTTTACAGCATGAGCCCAAGCCAATTAATTGGCACCATTCAACTTCTTGGTAGTAATAGATTTGGGCATGTCATCATCTTTACTTATAGCCATTGCCTTAGTCTCAATTTCAGCCTTCAATCACACAAAATACTCAGCACAAGAGTATGAATGCAACAAAATTCTTGCAAATAAGAATTATCCGCACCAATTAGCACTTACAACCATGAGTATAGCCACTGGAACTAGTTCAATCAACAAGATTCCAAGATTACAGAGGCATGAGTGGAGAAACTATGTGCTTGTTTGGTTTGTATTTGAGAAACATGTTTTGAGATAAAAAGTACGAAAATTTATTTGGTTTGTTTTTTTTTCAAAAGATGTTTTGAAAAATTATTTTGAGAGAGAGTTTTGGAAAAAGTGATTGATTTGATGTGTATGAGAAAGAGATTTGTTTGGAAAACTTGTAAACCAAACAAGTTTTGGAAAAAAATTTTGGGAAAATTTGTTTGGTTTGATTACTTTTGAAAACTTATTTGTGGAGAATTTTTTCCAAATTTCTTTGAGAAATACAAACCAAACAAGGCCTATGTCTACCAAATAGATTTGGATTTAAATTCAACCAAAAACACCAACCCACCAACACAAATCATCACTTTAGATCAACTAGACCTTGCTAGATAATTTTCAGCCCCTATACAGTAAGTTTCAGTAGGTAGAGGCTGGAAAATAACATTGCCGACTATGTATAGTACCAAAAAGAGTCCAAAATCAAATCAAACATCAATCCAACAGTAGTAAATCAACAAAATAATAGCAAATAACACTGAAAGAGTGATTTTTGGCTCCCAGAGATAGGATTCCAGCAAGCAGATTCAACAAAAAACAGTTCCAAATCTAAATTTATAGATTGACACCAAAAAACATGAAAAACATTTGAAAATAGAAAACTCACATTAGGGATGATCAAAAAATTTCTCAAAAATCACCATAAATCTAAGGAGTATATTTCGAATCTAGGGGTGGAGGACCCATCCGTACAGTGCTTACGTCATGCTGATGTCATCGTACGGCTGATGACATCAACACATCTCGGTCACCTCCAATCGATCTCCAGCGTCTGTAGAAACCTTTCTAATGAAGGGTAGATTGCTCTGATACCAAGTTAAGAATGTAAAAAGATGGAATTTAGGGTTGAGATTTAGGAAGAAGAAGAAGAAGAAGAAGAAGAAGAAGAAGAGAGTAGAGAGAAATTTTATATATATATTGAATAATCATTGTGCTTCAACTTTACATCAGCCAAATATATATAGAGACACTAACATAGCAATATGACTATCGTACCCTCAACTTATGTAAATATTAACAAGAGAACAAAAGAACAAAAATAAGTATTCTAACAGCTATGTTACATGGACTCTTCTAAACATATAACTGACCTATGCCAGACACTTGACACTTGGATAAGAGTATGAGATATGTATCCAACATGTGTAGTCTAGTTTATTTTCAATTTCCTATCAATAAGAGTAGGTGTGATTGATCTGTTTATTAAGAACTGCAGTTTTGTTTTTATATAGGTTGTTTAGCACTGATGTTTTACAATCGTAAAGGTCGAATAATGTCAAAAGATTGAGATTGGAGGAATCGAATAATGAGCTTCATCATGGATTAATCTCCTTCCTCTTCTTTCTTTTATTTTTTGTGGAATAACTGATTTCACCTCCTCAAGTCTTTATTGGTAATTGCGTACATAATTTTGTGTCTAATTATATTATCTCGTAAAAATGATGAAAGTTTAAGCCTCAATATAGGTTGAGATATCTTGAAGAATAGGTAAAAAAAAATTATTCTGAATAGCAGCATTGGGAAATTGAGTTATTACCAAAGTTTTGATCATGTTAATTATATTTCCTTCCCACCTGTATACATTCAGTTTCCGTCTTTTATTGATAGTGCATCTATTTATTTAACTTTTTCCCCCTCATCTTTTGATGTTCCTTCTTTGAATGCATGTAGTCTGGTATTTTTATTCATTTATGACTTTAGACAAAAATTGAATTTTCTATCTATGCAGAATAAGAGCTGCCAATAAAGCCCACGGTGATGGCCCTAAGAAAACACGCACACGCGATCGGGCTGTTCGAGCAATGCCTGCACCAGATGCCAATGCTGAGCTGCAATCTAATCTCGATGTATGTCAACACACTACTTTGTTCAACTATTACTCTTTTGTGTTAGTAACATGTGGCCATTATATTGCAAACTAGCTTGATTAATCACTCGGTAGCCAGATTATGGTACTACGTTAAAGAGAAAACAAATTTATAATGGTTAGCATCAAGTGGCTAGTAAATGGTGAAATATTTTTGATTTGATGAGATGGAGACATCATGGTTCTAAATTTTGTTTCGAGGCATTGTGATTCTTGAAAGCTAGAAATGTTGAAAAAATAAGAAACATACAGGTATGCCAAGAAATATTTTAAAAATATTTTAAACAAGACGTTTTCCAGTGTCAATCTGATATTTTTTACCCAAGCAGTGGAAGTGTGTATCATACCCAAGTACTAAGAAGTATTTTTTACCAGTTTTAATTACAAGTCATAAATAAAATGAAAGTTAGTGAGAAGGCTGGTGACATTAAAATATTTTCTAGTGACAGTAAACATGAGTGCAGTTCCTTTTGGTAAGGAAGTTGGATTTTATTGTTTTTGGTTTTAGGTTATGTTACATGGACTCTTCAAAATAAATCAAATACTTGTGTCGGACACCCGACACTTGGATGAGGGTGTAGGATATGCGTCTGATACTTTTCATCGGACACATGTTTTCATTTAATACTACCATTATATCTATATATATTGTTGAATAATTACTATAAAATGAGTTAAAATGCGTTTTTAATACTGTATGTTACATAAAAATTATAATACCATTTGATCTCACATAGTAAATTTTTGAAAAAAAAAAATGTCCATTTTTTGTTGAGTCCGCGTGCTTTTAAATTTGAAGTTTGATATCCAAGCACTTGACCTGTACTAGAGTCCATGTAACATAGGTTTTACTAGACCCTGAAAACTTGATGTCCAGGCTGTTGCAGGTTTCTTAGTCAGGGGGGAAATACCCCCAGTGGTCAATATCTAAAACCTAAGTTCCCTTATTGACGACTTTGTAGAGAGTGAATGAAATTAATTGAAAATTTTAATCTCTGCAAATGAGGTCATAAATTCCTGATGGATGAGATTTTCCAGTTTGCCAGTCCGGAGAAACTGGAGTGGAATATTACACTCATCAAACTAAAGATAAAATGGTTGCCCTAAACTGCAATATAAAAGGTCAAATCTAAAGTTTGTTAATTTGTAAATGAGCTTAAAAGCTTGTCTATCTCCCATTCTACAGTGATTGACATGCAAACTTATGAACAAGCATAATCTCATTTGTTGCCATTTTATGGTATCTGATTCTATGGTCGTACACTGCCAATTTTTTAATTTGTTGCTTTTATTTGTTCGTATCTATTTATTTTGTTGATTCAGCGGCGGCGTTTAATCACCCATGCAAATGCAAAAAGCAAGAGTGAGAAGTTTCCTCCACCTCACCAGGATGGAGCTCTTGGTGTCCCCTTGGGTGCTTCACATCACATTGACCCTGCATTTGTTCCTCCTGATATCCCCTTTAGCTCCACTTCATTCACCTATTCAAAAGAACCCGTTCAAAATTGGTCGGGTCCTTTGGTGGACCCTGTGGCTGTTGCTTCAAGAGGAAAGAAGTACGCTGCTCGAGAATCGACAAAATCTTTTACAAGCAAAAAAGACAAAAGTAGCAACCCGCGGGTTAAGGGGAAGGAAAGGATGGCTTGAAATTTTGTTGCATATATTGAGAATTTCATACAGGAGAAAATTGCAGACCTATTGGATCCAAATGTATTTACTTGGCCGGGAATAGCAGTGCCGGCCCATTCAGTGGTAAAAAAATTTGTTTTATCTTTCACATAAAGATTTTTCTGTTACTGCTCGATTTGTTGGGATGATGAGAGGCTTCTGTTATTATGTATATTTTAATTTTTTCCTTCTCTTAGATCAGTGTGTTGGAAGTTAATACTGTTTTGATTAGAGAAATTTTAATAAAAGTTTGAGAGCCCAGTTCTGGTGTTACATTCTTCACAACATTACAATTTGGCAACTAACTTCTGCTTTAGGGTTCGAATCTATACTTTTCTGTTTTGGATGGGGACTTGGGATGTTTTTGAGATGTTTGGCATTGATGTTGACACTTGGGTTGAATACCATCTAAATGATTGGCAATCTGGGAATGCCCAGATGAACGATATTATGCGACTTAACCTCATATGGGGACAAGAATTGATCTACGGGGCAGTAACGAGATATGAATGTAATAATTTATATATGATGGTAAAGTCTATGATATGAATCATGCTGATAATAGGGTAATATCTATGCTTGTATGGTGTAATTTGATTGATAAGGCGTGTTAAGAAAAACCTTAAACAAATTTCAACGCAGGTCTACACATGAGAAGTGTAATTGTCCAAGGCGTCATTCGTTGAATATGTGTGGACTAGGTTCCCAAAAAAATCGAGATTGATGCGGATCACTTGAAATATAGAGTGAATGGAAAGGTGTGAACAGGTTACTAATAATAGTATCGACCATGTGAATGTTTATAATGATAATGTCATATTTCGGGCTGAACCCACTATATATGCAAACTGCATTGAAGATTTTCATTACAATCATGTAGTGGAGAGGATTGAAATTCCTTTTTATCACATGATAAAAATGGGTTCAAATGAGACTTGTCAACATGGAAGACTGTTTAACTTCTTGACTGGTGATTTTAAGGAAGGGTAGATGAGAAAGTGTTAGATGAACATATCAGAACAGGGAAGGTTAGCTAGATGCTGTGATACAACTGTGAATGGCAAGTTAGATGCTGCTGGACTAAGCAAACTCTCTCTCTCTCTCTCTCTCTCTCTACATATATATAAGCTGTTGGGAGTTTCTTCAGGGGTGAGACATTGCATTTGTGTTATTTTATATACAAGTTTCATATAAGTTTGTGAGTCTCTTCTGGTGTGGTGACGGTGGTGGCGGTGCTGGTGGCGGACGTGTGGTTGTAGAGCTAGCTAGTGTGTCATGGGACCAAGAGGACCTGGAGAACCACCGGGATGGGGGCCTCCCGGTGGACCGGGACCTCTGCCTCTGCCTCTGCCTCTGCCTCTGCCTGGACCGGGCCCTTTTGGTGGTTTTTGTAATGGCATATCTGCTTGGTAATAATCAACTTTTTAGTTCTTAATTTCACATAGATTGTCAAAATTGATTTTGTATGGTTTTATTTTTTTTTAAAATTATTTTTAAGTGAGTTTTCATTTATTTTTATTAAACTTTTCTCATATATATATATTTTAGAAACACCTAATCTAGATGCTTTTAAAAAGTTAAAAAAAAGAAGATTAAAATATAAAAAAAATTCATTAAAAACAAAATGATGTTATAGGTATATATCACTAAAAACATGTTATATTCTTTATTATATTATAATCGACTTTGCAGTTTGAACAAGTTTACCACCACAAAAATCACTCACAGAACTAGATACATAGATGGATAGAAGTAAGTTTATATATTCATGTGTATTTTGTGCTCGTTTGGCAACTTGACTCTTTTAGTAGTTTTTTTAGTTTTTTTTATGAGGTGAAAAGAAAGTATAGTTTTTGAAATGATTTTTTTTTTTGGTTGAATAGATAACTGCGAGAAAAAAAGTGATCGATTGTTATGTATGATTTGATATTTTAATTTCTTTTGTGATTTTTTTAACTAGAAAGTTGATTGCTAAATTGTAGCTTGTTTGTATGTTGTATATGGGTCTCGGTCATTAAAATTACTTAAATAAAAGAAAATGATTTATAAATATAATTTTGGGAAAATAACTGTACAGTGGTACAGTAAAAAAATTACAAAATTACGAAAGTATATAACATTTTAATTAGTAAAGTGTATAAACTTTACCATTGATTTATAATTTTTCTTTTACTACCACTCTGCTATTATTCCCCATATAATTTTTACATTTTCTACAAAATAATGTGAGAGTGGTATTTTTGTAATTTTAGACCACAATGATAGTTTGAAATGAAAGAACCAACCACATAATTTTATGTGAAATCTTTGTGCAAAAATTCTCTTTGTGATATTACCCTTAAATAAATATGAAATGTTTCTATCTATCATAAACTATTTATAATGTTAACTTGAGATTTATAATGTAATTACTGTATACAATGGCCTTAGCCACGGTTAATAAAATACAAAAAATGCTACGAATAGAGAATTAATCACTGACTTAGCTAATCAACACGTATAGATGTGAACCCATTTTAGATTTGTTCCATGGTTAGTGGTTGATTTTGTGTCCATAGCATTTTATAACAAGTTTAATCTTTAAATCTTGAAAAGTTTACAGTATTTTGCCTAATGAAAGATATCATGTAACTTGATGTTCTAATATTCTTAGGTTGTGTTTCAATATTAAGTTTGAAAAGAAATTTGTCACGAAAAAAAAAAAGCGAAAAGAAAATTGACAAAAATTTAATTTCTATTTAAATTTAAGATTCAAATACAACCTTCATATTCTTGATCGAGACCACCTATTTTAGCAAAACAATCAAAAGCTAAGCAACAATCAAATTCTTCACAAAACCAATTACTCTTGTTTGTTGAAAAGTGAAAACCTTCACCAATAGAAAACATTGAATTTCCTAAATGAACCTATATTTTTTATTTTTATTTATAGGATATCCTTTCTATTTCATTGCAACGCAAGAGAAAAAAAATTATTCCACAATAAAATTAACCATGTTTGGTATAATTTTTTATAAATTAAAATTTGATAATCAGAAAAGAAAAATTAAAAGCACTTCTCCTCTACTTTTTAAATAATTAATTTTTAAAATTTATTTAAGTTATTTTTGCCTTATAAAATATTAATAAAAATTATACCAAACAGTTTAACATAAACGTATAAATTAAAATAAGTTATGAACAGAAGATTTAAATTGTAGTAAACACCCCATTAGCTTACTCTACTTCTTGAAATTTGATCATTTATTATATGGTTTTCTAACTTTATATTTGTTGGTTGTTTTATACTTTTTTTTGCAGCCTCAGCTTCTTGTGTTGTTGCTGGTTGTTTCAAGACTGCTTTGGAGGTCCAATGGGCCCACCTGGACCACCAGGTCCCTTGGGACCCCCTCCTCCATAATCATCTGCTCCCTTTCAAATTCTCTCTCTCTCTCTCTCTCTCACTTTGCTCGAATTTGGATATATATCACATCAGAGGATTGAGCTTAAAGTCTGTAACAGTTATATATGGGCGGTTGCTGATGTTTTATAATCAGTTACAGAATAAGGGAGAGGATAATATTGTTGGACAAATTTTTGATCAAGTCCAGTGTTTAATACTGTGTCCTTAAGACAGATTCATCATCTCTACGGTACTTTCAGATTGTGGACGATTATCTTCCAGAATTAAATGATCAACAATGAATAATAGCAGTACTACAAATTATTCGCACAACGAACACACTTTATGTTTACACTATATATTGTTTCTCACAGAAAATTAAATGCAGCAAAATGTAGAAAGCAATAGCAGATTTGCAGGCGAAAATTGAGTGAAATCCAGATGAGGGATTTGTCTATTTGTAGGTGTAAAGGTGGCTGTACATATTTGAATCCAACAGGTATGGTACCTGTTCGAACAGATAAAGACCTGTATGGTTTGAACTGAATAGGTAAGGCACTGTTTCAACAGATACAGAATTGTTCGGGTTTAAATTTGAACAGATTTGAATTCAGACAAATATAGAACCTGTACAGAAAATTTGAAGAGGTGCAAACCAAAATTTTGAATTCAAGCAAAAGCCAACAATACCTTGGCTCAAGATGGTTTGACTGAGCTAACTGCCACTGTGCCGACCGTGGTGACCTAGCTAACTGTAAGGTTCTTTGAGACCGGGCTAACTGTAAGGCTCTTTGGGATCGGGCTAACTATCAGGCCCTTTTACTCAGTCTTTCTCACTGTAGCCCATAGAACGGATGTCAAACCATCTTGAGCCGAGGTATTGTTGCCTTTTGCTTAGGACCTTGCTGTTAGATAGCTCAGTCCAAGCTCATTGTGAATAGCACGGTTTCACACAACCCAGTTGGAATATGTCAATTGAGGTATACGCATAGTGAAAGGAAGAACCGAGCTAGTTGGAGCTCGGTCTAGTCTGCGGCTTTAGCGTGGCCATGTTATCTCGGTCGTATTGACATCCAACCATGGTAAAACCATCTCACTTGGTTTAAGCAGTGAGGGGGTGTTGAAGGATAAACATTATCTTTCAGGAATGTGATTCCTAGGAGGACTTTACATGGAGGAGTAAGAGTCCTACTAGGATTGTGCCACACGGAACCTATAAAAGCTCATAACAACACCTATGGAGAGGTAACACAACTTTGATTCTCGAATATATAGAGCTTTTGTTTATTTTGCTGACTTAGGTATTGGAGAGGTATCCGGCACACACCCGCTGGCTAGCTCACGTTTGTGCTTTCAGGGAGTAAAGCGACGTCGTATGGAGAAGCGCAGACTTGATCAACAGGATTATACGAGAAGGAATATTTCTTACTCGTACAATTGGCACTGTCTGTAGAAAAAATCAACTCATAACTGTCAATCAATTTTTTTTACACCCTTAACATTTGCATTCGCTGCGTATATATATATATATATATGTACACTAGGGGTGCTCATGGTTGATTTAATTCGATTTGATATTAAGTTTAAAACTAACTCAATCATGATTGGTTTTAATTTTTTAAACCTAGAATCAAACCAATCATATTCTATAGGTATTTTATTTTAATTAAAATTGCATGACAAAAAAACTTCAAAAACTGTTATCAATTGTATGCTTTACGTAATAGAACATGTGTTTAATAATAACAACTTAATTTATTTTAATGTTATCTTTTTGGAAACCTTCATTTTGTGGTATTAGAGCATTTGCTTGTTTCCTTTGCAATAATTCATTCATATTTGTTTGTTTTTTATTCCTTCAAAAAACCATTAATAGTGAACCATAATTATCTATAGACTTGTC